ATAATCGGAAGAGATTGCTCAATCTTCCTTTGGTTTAGACTAATGGCTAAAATGTTAGACGCTAGATTAATTAGAATTTATAAATAGATTTTTTCGGAGGAAAGAAAACCAGAGAACCCGGAGAAAACCCTTGAAGCACCGGAGAGAACCAACAAACAACTATGCTGAAATATAATTGCGGACAAGAGGATAAAACTAACAACCAGAGTAGTGAAAGGCGGGGCATCGGCACATGGTCACCCACGCTTCTTTGAATCGGTCGTTTGCACGYGATATAAGGAATACTATTCCAGTGGATATCACTAACAAGTGAGAGCAAAATGCAACGCCATGCCGGCGAACGGGTCGGCTCAGTAACACRAAAAAAAGCCCTTTGCGCGCGGACTTTTTTCTCCACTGGTGGAGTTCCTGTGGAATTGGCGGGAATTTTCCCGCCAAAACCGCGCGCGTGCTCGCCTGTTCCCTCCGTGACTTGRCCCATGGTTCTTATATGATTTTCACCGACCTTGTAATCAATAGGTTTTATAAATGAATAGGCACTTCACGATGCTATTAGCCAAGCAGCCCATTTTGGCCTTTTTATTCKATATTCTATTGAACACTTTGAGCTAATACCTCCTGTCTGATGCGTGAGCGAAATCAAGTTTTGCTTCAAACTTCGAGAGTGTTCGTCCGCCTATACTTTAGCTACTTTCGACGAAAGCCTTTAAAAGTAGACCAATTGGCTTCCGTTTAAGAATCACATAACAATGAAGGGAATCATTAATTCTTGCACATGACATATTATGAAAGACTTATTGATAAATGTCGGTGTATCAAGTGCCATTTTCTGGCTTCCTGTCTGTTAACGACTCTCAGTTTCTCTTCTCAAACACTTTGCACTCATTTGTCAGTGTTTTATTCACCGCTCAACAAACCTAGAAATCCTCATCCATAYTCTGAATGATTTTAACCTTCTCAGTAATCAGTTTTCATAGGGTTTTATTAGTATTTTTTTTGAACCAATTGCTATGCATTTTTTCCAAAGAATTGAAAATAAAAAAAGCTCATCTTCTTGAAACGCATTATTGATAAGGTAATCCCTTGTCAGATGGCRTTGGTTAGACGAGGCAGGTCTGCCTTTAACCCTCTTGATGACTGCATACATTTAATCTAGTTGTAAAGCTCTAGCGCTATTTTTTCTCTCGCTGGCTTTAAAAAATTCTCATCACACATATTTATTAAGYCGATTCTTGCTTTTTTTACTTTTCTCTTAGCTGAATGCAACACTCATTATTTYATTACACTATTATTAATCTTTCACTTGCCCACTAGTGTGAAATCAGTTCTCATCATTCCTATCACAGTAAAAGTCGCCAGGATTCTTGCTGTTTTCATTAACTTTTCCCATAGCTGACTGCCACACCCAATATTTTATAGAGTTCGCAAACGCTATTATTAATTTCACTCGCCCTCACTAGCGTGTTATTCTCATCATACATTCTGAGTATGAAGTCGATTCCTGCTGTTTTTACTTTTCTTCTAGCTGTGTGGTACACAATAACCAAAGGGTGCTGTMTTTAAGTTCCATCTGTAAGTCTTTTGTCTTTCTTCTCTAGATRATATTTCAGTCCCATATCACGCACTGACTAACTTGCACCAGTATTTATTCTCGCTGGGATTTCTTGCTCCCATCAAAGSTAATTCCCCTCCAGGTTTTCAGTCAAGATTGTTTCCTGACTTTTAATCTTCAAACTGCGAGAGAATGAATATTCACTATAATCCCTATAGCATTCAGTTACTCAGCCCGTCTATTGTATTCAACTTTCCACGGTTCATTCTCAAATAAGATAACTTCTAAGAGTGTCACAGGTTTCTATTCGAAGTCCTTGAGCTCTTTCTTTATGGCATTTTATGATCAGCTATTATCGTCATTGCTTTCGGTCTTTAAGATTGTCTCTTAAGCTACTTATCCTATATTGACTTACTGATACAAGRATCATATAAGGTTATTGTGAGTATTCATACTTAAATCGGGGTATTCGCATGATATTGGCTTCCCATTTTTTCGAATCCCACAAGTTATTAATCACATCACGGACTTTGCATTGGAGTGTGATTCAAAGCGAGCGTACATCATCCAGGCCAGGCTGCTAAGTTTCTGGCTGATGTTTGTTTCATTATGTTGGCTGACATCTTAATCTTTGAGGGAAAAAATCATGCACTTTATCTTGAAGAAATATTTTTTAGAATAATGATGAGTTAAGTGAACTACAATATTATATATCTAATAGTAGCTTTCCTCGACAATTATTGCCATGGCATGAAAACGAATTTCAGTGCAGTCGAAAAACGGATTTTTAAATTCGTTTTTAGAGTGTAGGCTGTAAACTGGCCAACAAGTGTATTTCATTTTCAAACTATCATGTAATGGCATTTTCAATMTTTTCAGTTCCGAATTCTACCTTTTCCAAAGCAATATCTTCCGGTTTCCTATACATTTAAGTCAACATTGTGTTAATTTATAAAATGAASAACCACTCATTCAATTTTTCTACTTCCTCTCCTTCAAAAAAARGAATTCAAATTCAAACACTAATTTCCTATGTTTCGTGATGACCAAATCAATCAAAAACATAATAAATGTTGAATTCTCACTTGTTTACAATACCAACCGAGATCTTGAATAGACTCTAGTCGCGAAGGATGAATAAATAATGAAACATAACAGTYTTTAATAACAATATTTTGTACGACAATATATGAATGCGGTTTCTACGAAACCGTAAATATATTCCCGGTTTGATGTGAAAACCAAAAACGATATTTCAATATATGTTTCGATATTTACTATATAATAAAACTCATAATTTCTCTTTCCTTTATTTATTTATCTATTATTTCCTCTGGTTGAGTTAGTTTATTTATCACATRTGCATGCTAGCACTAATTTAAGTCATCCAAAGCACAATAATTTTTCAATTTACTTTTTAATGATTGCGTCTCCATGTGTCATCAACAAACTCTCTCTCCCTCTGCGATGTATTTCATTTTTGTCTTATTGTCCATATCTAAATAAAATGGAGTTATGAAGTTTTGGGGTTTATACGGCATGGCCATTCGTTTTATGGGCTGCCTTTATGGGCTGTTTTATGGGCTGCCTTTCTTATAACCTACGTTAAAAAAATAAATATCATTGACGAAGATTGTGTTGGTTTGCAGAAGCTCAGCTCAAACTAACCAAACGCCAAAGAAAAAATCACAATGCTCTTTTGAGGTAGCGGAAATCTATAGAAAATAGATTTATACCTTTGTTTTGTTCTCAGTGCAAAATTGCCTCTTAACAACGACAGAAAAGTGTTTAAAGCTCGGGCCACCACAACAACCGGATAGAAAAAGCAACAAAGAGAAAATGTGGGCCTAAAATGAGAGAAAAAACGGTTCTGCTACGCATATTTCACGAAATTTTATTTATGAGGTCATGAAACCAGGCGMAGGCTAAGATGCTTACTTATCCAAAGAAGAAAAAAAAATACAAAACTGATGTAAACAATTTCCCACACAGTCCAAACGCATTAAAAGTGGAAATAAAGCGATGTGAAAGTCATATATAGGTTATTAATATATTATCAAACGGTGTAGGATCTTTTGGATGAAAGATAAAAAATCATTAAGTGGTTATGGTTAATGACTGCATTAAAACAACTCGAGACTTCTAAGATAAATACATTCTTGTTAATCTCGTACAATCCATCCAAGATAGTGACGTCATTGGTCCCATCAACCAATCACAGGGAAGTACTATTTCTTGTCTGGTAAAGTAACACGCTGTATTCTTAGAAGATTTTTCGCAAATCAGTTAAGTAGTCCATTCGAGGATAGAAGATTACAACTCAGCTAAGCGGCAAGGTAAAGTTGAAATTTTACATAAAAGATTGATAAAATATATATTAGACCGTGAAGAAAAATGTATTTACATCCCTAAAGCATTTGTRCAATACAAGTGCAATATCGGTACTGTATACAACAATCTTCGATAAAGACTGTAAACTTTCATTCAAGCTATGCTTTCAACCCTTTACCAGCAGTTACTGAATGGATTAAATCTACACTAAGCTCCCCTATTATTTTTTCTAAAATTTCTAAAAACGCCTTGCCTCAAAATAAGAGACAATAAAATCCCTTTGCAATAGGCTTAATTACTATAATATTTTTCTCGCTCGGATTTAAATGTGTTATCACCATAGAAATATTCTTAATCCACCAAGAATTCACCTAATTATTTTTCTGAGTACTATACTACTGARATATAACAGTCTAGCAAACCTTCAAGCTGGCGTCCGTGATCATCTAACAACCAGATTAGATTTTTCTCTGTGTGGTTTGAATTTAAWACCAAATTCTTTACTAAGATTATTTAACCAAAATCCTCATTCCTTTGTTTTTATTTCCACATACTTTTACACTATTCTGTTCATACTCGAGAGTTGTATCTGCTCTGAAGATATTGTTTACATATGGAATACCTCCCATTAAACCGCGAGAGCAACTTAGAAATGCATCTGCCAAGAATCAGGAAAATTTTGGAAAAAGTCCCGAAAATTTATATGCATTAGTGTTTTGGGGAAAATACCCAATACAACTGAGAACTCACAGCATTTTTGAATGATTTTTCGTTTCATCTTTGACAAAATGTATCATGGGGTAAAATGCCAAAATGGCAAACATTGTATTTCGACCACACTTCGAAGAATAATTACATGACATTACGAACATTGTATTTCTTGTGCAATCCACTTTGCATGCGCGCATGCCTCGGGGGCGAAAGCTTAACAAAACGGAGACTCTTTCTTGGTATAATATATCTTTTAGACGTGAAAGATTTTGACGTAGCTAAAGTGATCACTTTTTAAGAAAAAATAAATCGAGGTTTTTTTTTGTTCAGAGTAAAAGAAAAAAATGAATGAAAGGAAAAAGAGATGAGAAAAGAAAAATCGCCTTTAGTGAGAACTGAGCTATGAATAAATGCATGTAAACCAAGTTGCTTAGCTTCAATGAGTTGGTTTTGATTTTCACGGCGTTTTTACGAAGAGATTGGTTTCCCTTGAACAGGAAACCGCACCAAAGCGGTCCTAATTAAGAGAAATTTAACGAGAAATATTTCCCACATACTTGGATTTTATTGGTCCATAAAACAGAATCCTAATATATTGTTTGAATGATATGCGTACCGAGGAGAGAATACTGACCCTGAAATATGCGTACCACTGAGAGAATACCCCGAAATCAAAGCATCGATATCACTTTCTCGTACTCTCTTGAGTGACTTATTTTTCTAAGCAATTATATCCATCGCAAACCTCAATATCATTTAAGTTGTCAGGTATAAAAGCAGCTCAACGAATGTGATCAGTTTGGGAATTCACCTCAAAAAGCTTATATAAAACTGAGGTTACATGTCATTCATGATTCSGTGCGTGTTCAAAGAACGAGTTGGTCGAGTAAGAACATTACAGGTAAGTTCGATTCTACGAGAACAAAAGATTCTGTATATTCATTTGTATATAAGTCGTTGACATTTTGTTTTGGGGTTTGGATTTCGTATAGAAAATTTAATATCCAAGTTTGAAGGTATGCAGAAAAACTGGTAGAAATATTTCGAATAAGAATCTTTAAATTGTCCCTGAAATATTTTTTCGAAACGGTGCTTTGTTACTGTTTTTTCAGTACCGTTTTCATTCAAAAAAGAGTAATTCATTCAATCTCTTTTTGCATTCTGAAGGCATTTTAGTACAGATTGTTTTCAATGTTTACCCAAGTAATTAGAATTGGAGCTTTCTTTTCATCCTGTTGAAAATTTACACAAAATCGACATCGAGTGCGGAGTTCGGCGTAAATTCATTTCCTCTAGAAGTGCTCTATTTAGCATCAAAATGTCTCCCTCAAAATTTCTTCCAAAATATATTTCTCCTTYAAAGAAATTTTTTCTTTTTTTTTACAAATCAAACCCCACACAGCTAATTTCGTGTGTGTGTGTTTTTTTTACAGTTTTTTTTGACCGTGGGTTTTGACTGTTTCGTATCACACCTGCAGTCCTCGAGGCACTCCTGAGACATTTTGTAATAGTTTCTAATTTTTCTTGGCTTATCCTGTTACTCTTGTCAGTAAAAATATACTTTATTACGCCTCTTGACCATTTGATGAATAAGTAATCTATTTTTATTACCTTCTAGTACAATCTAGCTGTGTGTCCTGGTGTAAGAACACATGTTTSTCATGAAGAAAGCTTCTAAATTAAAAGAATAAATCACTTATTTAAAAATTTTAAAATATTCAACGCAATATTGAATGCTTGGATGGAAAATGAATCAAAAAATTTATTGCTAACGTCATCTTTTTTCTAATTTCAGTTTAGGATTTTTTCATTTTAAAATTGGCGAATCTCAGACTGCAGTAAGCAAGTGTTTTCATAATTGTTCTTTTGTTTCGTGACTAAGTGAGATAAATTTTTATTTCGTTTTTTTATTTCAGTCATAACAGGTGCAAAATGAGCAAAACATTGATGCGATTGCAGTAAATTGGCCAAAAATAAATACCCCGAGAAGAAAGCATCCTTTTTATTGTCTAAAAAGGAATTATAATCTAAAAGTACTTATATATTTTCTCATCTAGCCGCCTTTTTGTAACCGAAAGCTAGAGCCTTATCTCGTTGAAACTGCGGGTGATGTAGTTAGAAGGCAATCAAGTGGAGATCTTGGCCTGACTTCTAATCCACGCATTCGCAACCGTATTTAGTTTTTGCACCGATTCAAATTAAAGATTTAGCCAAAATCTTACATGAAATCTCCGCCAAAATTGAATTTTTGCTGAAAGTTATGGTCTCCCTTAAATCTCAACAGTAACTTACTTACCACTAATTAATGCGTTGACAAATTTCACTAAGATTGACTACAGCAATATATTTAAGAGTAATTAAGTTGTGCCTAGAAGGCAAAACGTGGTCACAATGATCTCCAAGATAGAAAATATTTTATACAATATTCAAGTGTAATTGGTTTATTGAAATATGTCGAAATGCTGGCTCCAGGTTTTCATTAGATCTTGAAGGTTGTCGAATTGATTATGTTTTGACAAAAGCACGTAGACGCGTTATTTTGAGACGAGTTGGTGCGATGGGGAGTTGGGGATATTGTGTCCTTATAAGAGAATCATGTACTTTGTAACCGAGCTTTTCCTAACTCGCTCTATTGGATGGATGGATGGATGGAGGGAGGGAGGGAGGGAGAGAGGGAGGGAGGGAGACAGGGAGGGAGAGAGG